AACTCCATTGAAGAACATGATAGATACTGCAGTGTCCACAGGCTACACCCAGAAGGACTGCTACTGTTGTATGTGCTTTACATATTTATCGCTATCCCATAATCTACCGTATTTACCTTGTACCTGTGTTCTTTCTGCAGAGCAGACCATGAAAACAATGTGTTATGATAGCGGGGTGGCGGCTACCTTTCACAATGGTTGTTCTGAATTTCAATTCTGAATCAATATTATACTTATAATCTATTACCAGTACTAGTTGACCACGTCGTCAAAATGCGACATTTAATTTTTGTTATGCTAGCAATTTTCTTGATTTGATGATTCAGTGGTATTGTGTGGAATATTTTGTTGCATGAAATACTGCCTAAAATTCTGTGTTTATGACTCAAGGACATTTGTTTCTTGTGGAATTAAAAGCAGTTTACATTCATTTTTATTATAACCGTGATTGTAAAGACTCTACACACCAGATTAAAAGTAAGAAAATTTATCAAAACTAGTCAGCCACAAAGAAATAAAATACATGCGTTAACATAACTACTAATGGAAAGATTACACAATAAAAATATACACTAAAAAATTGGGCAAGGGTTCACCCTTCAAACCTCCTACTGGTGAGCATTAGGCAAAGGTGTTCATAAATTGCCATGCCAAATAAATTACAGTTCGTCTTTGGTTAATTTGCAAATGTATTAAACTTCACTAACCGACAAGGTATATCAGTAGTTAACCGTAGTTACTCAGTATCCATCCATTTATAATTGTGTTTACAGTATACACATGTATTTTAACAATTTATTTTGAGGAATATTTATTACTGAAGAGAATTATTTTGTTTGATTTCAGTGTTGTGTACACCTGGTAGTTATGAAGTAAATGGAACATGTGTTGATTGTCCAATCGGTAGTTATCAAGACGAATATGGTCAGACTGAATGTAAATGGTGTCCCGAAAATCATTCAACCAGACATGAAGGAGTTAAATATTTTGAGTATTGCATACGTGAGTAAATAAATGCACACCATTGCTGCTATAAGTGGTTTGATATTGCAAAAGTCAATGTGCAGGCTTGTTAGAATTATGAACCTCAATTGTCTATCCATTTTGTCTGATTAACGATCAGGCAGTCATTGTAGGGTTTATTGTTTTTAGAACATGCAAAGTCATTATTTCCATATTAAAAATTGGAAGTGCTTTTAGTCCTAGTTCGTAACATTTGTAAGACAAGTAATTAACAGTTTGCAGTAAAGCAGAAAACAGCTATAATAATTTTAATTTTAAAATTACAGCATTGTGTCGTCCTGGTCGCTACTCTGATTCTGGTCTCAGTCCGTGTAACAGCTGTCCTGCTAATTATTATGCACCCGGTTATGGTAATACTGAATGCCTGCCATGTGAAGAAGGATCTTACAGTTCTAGAAGCTCTGGAGAATGTACAGGTGCGTTGGATTTTTACCTTGTCTGTATCATCGTAAATGAAAGGCAAGATATATGAAAGGAAAAAGTCTGTCCTCGTTGTTGTCGTCATTCGTTGCAAAAATTTTTCTTGTGGTAAAAATAAGACATTATAAATATAGATGTATTTTGCTGTACTATTTTTATACAATCCAAGTTATACAATTCTATGAGGAACATTTATACCGTACATGAACATTGTAGTACGGTACTATTTGAGGAATGTGAATAATATAGCAGTCACATGTAAACTTATTTTGATTGGATTATATCAGTCACATGTAAAGTAAGTTATTAAATTATTGCAGTCACATGTAAACTGTGTTCTGATTGAATGATAGCAGTCACATGTAAACTTTATTGTGATTGGATTATATCAGTCACAAGTAAACTTTATTGTGATTGGATTATATCAGTCACATGTAAACTTTGTTATGATTGGATTATATCAGTCACATGTAAAGTGAGTCATGATTAAATTATTGCAGTCACATGTAAACTGACTTATAATTGGCTAATAGCAATCACATGTAAACTGACTTATGATTGGATGATAGCAGTAATATGTAAACTTTGTTATGATTGGATTATATCATTCACATGTAAAGTGAGTTATTAAATTATTGCAGTCACATGTAAAGTGAGTTATTAAATTATTGCAGTCACATGTAAACTGTGTTCTGATTGGATGATAGCAGTCACATGTAAACTGATATATGATTGGATTATAACAGTCACATGTAAACTTAATTTGATTGGATTATATCAGTCACATGTAAAGTGAGTTATTAAATTATTGCAGTCACATGTAAACTGTGTTCTGATTGGATGATAGCAGTCACATGTAAACTTTGTTGTGACTGGATTATAGCAGTCACATGTAAACTTTGTTGTGATTGGATTATAGCAGTCACATGTAAACTTTGTTGTGATTGGATTATAGCAGTCACATGTAAACTTTAATATGATTGGATTATAGCAGTCACATGTAAACTTTGTTATGATTGGATTATATAAGTCACATGTAAACTTTGTTATGATTGGATTATAACAGTCACATGTAAAGTGAGTTATGATTAAATTATTGCAGTCACATGTAAACTGACTTATGATTAGATAATAGCGATCACATGTAAACTGACTTATGATTGGATGATAGCAGTCACACGTAAACTTTGTTGTGATTGGATGACGGTCACATGTTATAAATGCGTTGCTATCACATGTTTACTGTGTATATTATAATTGATCACATGATTAATCCATATCTATTGTTATCTAATAGAGTACTGTCCAGTTGGTTACCGATCTCCAACCGGAAGACAGCCATGTTTCAAGTGTCCTCGTGGTTTCTATCAAGATGAGATTGGGTCCAGGAGATGTAAAAGATGTGAAGATCATGAAACAACAGTAGACCGTGGCTCTGATAGTCCAGATGACTGTGTTGGTCAGTTTGATTTTACTTATTCATTCATCGACATTTATTTACCAAAAAGATCAGTTTTTATTATATTGTCAACATATGTCTGTCTGGTATGAAATAGATTCGATAGTTGAACAAGAACCTGGTGCAACAAATGGTGCTTTGTTCAAAACGAATATTAGTCTTTTAGATTCATTTCATTTTATTTGCTGAGCAACATGTACATGTAACATTTATTTTCACAAACATGGCTGAATTATAATACTGTTATGTTTTGTTTACATCACTGATATAATAAATACCTATACGCCGTCAAACTGTGACATCGGGCAAACCAGAATTTGACTGTTTGATATCAAATGTTGCTCACTGATCTGCAGAAACACAGACACAACAGCAAGCAATGCCATTATCTTATTTTCGAGTACGAACTACTAATGAAGGAATGTAATCATGGTAATTTGATTATTGCAGATGCCTGTCATACTGAACCATGTTTAAATGGTGGTACATGCTCAGCGGGACCAGGACACACTTGGCATTGTGAATGTCCTCAACATTTCTTTGGGTAAGGTTTTTCTTGTTAAAATCGTAATCATTTCTAGGTAGAAGAGAATTTTTTTCTCCAACTGATTTCTCGATAGCTAGATCAGATATGGTAGAATGTAAATATAGTCTTGTATTGCTAATAGTTAAAAGTATTTAAAAGGTTGCATCCAAATTTGTGGTGTACAAAGTGTTAGTACGTGTACATTGCCTACTGAAAGCTTCCACTGATAGCCAAAATGAATAGGAACAAAACATTTACACAAAATGTCTAAATTACTCAAAATCTGAAGATCTTAAAATTATTCATATTATTTGCTTCAGAATACGATGCGAAGATGAAACAAGTTGTGCCAGCGATCCTTGTCTGAATAGCGGTACATGTGTTGATACTGATGACTCTTTCTACTGTGTCTGTCCTCCTGGATATTGTGGCGATTATTGTCAGAATCCACCGCATCCATGTTACAACAACCCCTGTCTATTTGGTGGTACTTGTCTACCCACTGACAACGAACGAGGATTTGAGTGTCACTGCCGAAATGATTATCATGGAGACTTTTGTGAAGAACCTGTGGATGATTGTGAAAGCGATCCATGTCTCAATGATGGTGTATGCTGTGATATTGGTTTTGATGATGTTGTTTGTTTCTGTAAACCAGATTACACTGGGGAGTTCTGTGAATATCCAATTGGTATGTATTGCTCCCTGTATATTCATCATACATGACCTACTGTAAATGGGTTAATAATTATTCACTGGATTTTAATTTTGCTTATTTCGCTGACTGCAAAAATGCGCCAAAATATGTAAAATATGTAAAATTTAGCATAGAACACATTATCAAAATAAAATAAAATCGTGAATTTTAAACCTACTGAATATGCCTGAAATAGTAAATCAGCGAAATTTAAACCCAGTGAGAATTAGTCATTTTACAGTAACTAATTCACCAAAAAAAAATGGACCAGTCTTTGTCAAAATTGATATCAAGTGTCTTATTCTTAGTGAGTACAGTGTGGTTCAACAATAACTTATGATTGAGCTACATCGTAGCTTTAAGCTAGGTTAGCCGGATTTGAAAACTGCCACATTAATTTGTGCAGGACAAACTGCCTAAATATCTCTCATATTAATAACATGGGTAAATACTACAAATAAAAAGTTGTAATTATTAAAAATGAATAAGTTTTATAAAAAAACGCAAAGCCAGGTGATACCAAGCGTGGAAGTTATGTTATACCAGACTGTCCTGTAATCCTGTAAATTTTGTGCAAAATTAAGTAAGTAAGTAAGTATTCCCAATACTAAAAGTGAACAAAATTTTTTATAAAATACTATAAAGAAAAAGTTGAAATTTTTGATGACATTGATACTCATTTTAAAATTTAATTAGTTTTTATGAAAATGCAAAGCAAGCTTGGAAGTGAAGTTACTGTAAAATTACATTACTGCAAATTTTGTTCAAAATTAAGTTGGAATTCACAAAATAAAAAACGAACAAAATTTTTGATAAATTAATGGTCAATTTAAAAATTAATAAGTTTTTATGAAAATAAAAAATAAACAGCGTTTTAGATAGAAAAAGAATTCTACCGGTAGTGTTGTAAAAAGAATAATTATGTGAAATGCATATTTACTTAGGGGTGATCTCATATTCAAACACCTGGGTCAAACCTGGGTTAACCTGGGTAAACCCGACCTGCCCTATTCAGACCTACTAGACCTACAATATGCAAATTAGTAGTAGGTTTGAACCTAACCTCTGGATTAACTG